GATGAACACCATTGCTAATAACCCGCTTATGTATCCATTTATCTTTTTCCTCCCCCCCCCCCCGCTCGTCTTAATTAATTCAACTGACAAATATTATCATTACCATAAGATTGTTTGACCCTTGTAAAGCGTTGCCGTCATGACTCGGCTTACGAAGGTGTTCATGTATGCAGGTTAGTATAAGCCGTGCCCCGCCCGGCTTCAATACCAAAGTTAGTATTCTCGTAATATTGCTGGCAGAATAAATAAATACAAATCGTTTGTATTCTTGATCAGTTTTGGTAGTTTCAAGGTTAAACTAAGAGTGTATATATAGAAGTAAACGTGAAAGAGGAACGTGGAATGGCATAATAGTTTATTAAAGATTGCTAGGACTGGTTTCTCAAGATCCCTATTCCAGATGTTACTGATAATGAGACGATGTAAATTAGTACCGAAGAATCACGTTAAATGATTAATTATGTACCTCAGAATCCTTCTCTTGTGCAGAGATTCTGGATCGACCTTTTTTTTTTTTTTTATCGTATTACATGTTGATTGTGCAAATTATTTTTTGTTAACCCGATGTTCTCTCTCTCTCTCTCTCTCTCTCTCTTTTTTTTTTTTTTTTTTTTTTTTTTTTTTTTTTTTTTTTTTTTTTTTTTTTTTTTTTTTTTTTTCCTGCAAAGTTGAGATTATACAAAAGAATATCTCAAAAATATTTGGCCTCTCTCTCCACAAGGAAGATAATAAGTTATGCAGATTTTTAGATAAACATGATGCATTTCGGTCGCTGAGGGATCCAAGAAAGGTATCCCCGTATTCCATAACCAGAAACACCGTATTCCATAACCAGAAATCCCGTATTCCATAACCAGAAACCCCGTATTCCATAACCAGAAACCCCGTATTCCATAACCAGAAACCCCGTATTCCATAACCAGAAACCCCGTATTCCATAACCAGAAACCCCGTATTCCATAACCAGAAACCCCGTATTCCATAACCAGAAACCCCGTATTCCATAACCAGAAAACCCCGTATTCCATAACCAGAAACCCCGTATTCCATAACCAGAAACCCCGTATTCCATAACCAGAAACCCCGTATTCCATAACCAGAAACCCATATTCCATAACCAGAAAACCCCGTTATTCCATAACCAGAAACCCCGTATTCCATAACCAGAAACCCGTATTCCATAACCAGAAACCCCGTATTCCATAACCAGAAACCCCGTATTCCATAACCAGAAACCCCATATTCCATAACCAGAAACCCCATATTCCATAACCAGAAACCCCATATTCCATAACCAGAAACCCCGTATTCCATAACCAGAAACCCCGTATTCCATAACCAGAAACCCCATATTCCATAACCAGAAACCCCGTATTCCATAACCAGAAATTGCGTGCACCGAGGCCCCAGTGCCTCAGTGCACGCGATTGGATTAGTGCAGAGTGTGGCATAAGTTGGCCTTGTAGTCAAATATTAGTTTAGAAGATTTAAAGGAAATCAGAAGAGACGTTCTCAAGTCAGCTTATGGAAACTAATATCCAGTTTTTTTAAACAAAAATGGTAAATTAGGACATACACAAACCAGAGCAAATTCAAACCTTTTATAAAGAGACGAATATCCTAAAATAAACAAACACATTGTACTTGACGCCGCTCAGATGTTGCATTATGACGTTATCAGGATTGAAATGTTTGAGGTTATTCTTAACCACTTCCTGTTTCATTCTCGGGCCACTGCAGTTTACACTGACGGTTCTAAATCCTTTGATGGTGACGGGTTTGCAGCAATATTCCTAGACAGTGTTGTAAGAGGTCATTTATTAGACAAAGCTAGCGTCTTCACAGCTGAACCGTATGCAATTCTCAAAGCGATTACCCGTATTGGGACCAGGTCTAACTCATCGTTTGTGGTAGTCTCGGACTCCTTTACTGTTTTGCAAGCTTTCAAAATAAATTTAATTCGTCTCATCCTCTAGTTATTGTTACAAAAAACGCGATTCTAAAAGCTTAGAGATCTCCAGTGAATACTAGAAAGGACTGCCCTTCTAGCATCCAGCCTGTTACTGGGTTTTCGTAACAAGTAGTCAGTATCCTTGTCCAATTATCCATTAGAATTCAGTATAATAGTGCTTCAGGATTTATTAAGTCTAGAGGTATATTATCAAATTAAATTAATCAATTCAAACAAATTAATAATAATAATAATCACTTCTCTCGTATACAATAGTATTGTGCTAAAAGCACATATCACATTTATAATTCTTAAGTACCGTCTGGTACATTAACATTTAATAAGATATTACAAATATGTACAAGTAAGTTTGTGTGTATGTGTATAAGTGCTCTAAGTAGTTCGCTATGTCTCAAGACTCGACTAGACTTAAACAAGTGATTGACAGTCCTCACATAAACTAACTTCTTAACCAACTGGCTATCAGAACAGTCTGCTTGAACAATAAAAAGAATGCTAAGCCCAATAGCAATATAACAAGTAACTGCGACACAATTAGGAACAAGGAGATAATATAACGACACTAAGTAGGGACCATCAGCAGATCCTCCACAAAAGTCACAAAACTCCCATACTACTGAATCTAAGTTCAGCATAAGAAAATCCCCGACTGTGATAATACACAGATACCAGTACAAGTTAGGTCAGAAGCTACAGCTCAGGACCTGAGTTGCTCAGAGTGTCTATGCGACACACAACCTCAGTATAACGTCGAAAATCACTAAGTCTATACAATGTTCTGTGAACAGAGTTCTACAGAACTAACAAGAATAATGAGACAGACAATCTGTCCAACCACCAAGACCCCCCTCGATCACGTGATAGCTCCGTGGACAGCTGCAGCTCAGCAACAGAAGCCGGCAGTCTAACGAGCCACAAGCGATAATTACAGTAGTTAGACAATCAAGACTTGAACTGAGCACATAATGTGTTACATCCTACCTAACCAAAGGAAGTTAAGTCAAATAACAATATAAAGCAATACATTTACGATTTAGCTATTATCGCAAATATAAGCAATATAAAATTATATGAAAAGGTAATAATTATATATATATATACATATTAATCATTGCAGCCCATTCAGGGGTTGCAACAGTTCTTCGTATACAACTTGGGTTGCACCGCATTTCTAGCAAAAACAAAAAAACTTAGTTTCTGCTGGGGTACCCAGGCATGTTTATGTTACGGGCAACAACCAGGCAGAGACTGTTGCACGATCACCGGTATATGACCTTCCACAGGACCTACCAGAGGACGGTAGTGCCTCCCTGGGTGGTTGCTGTCTACCAACCTACTACTACAGGACGGTAGTACCTCCCTGAGGGGTTGCTGTCTACCAACCTACTACTACAGGACGGTAGTACCTCCCTGGGTGGTTGCTGTCTACCAGACTACTACTACAGGACGGTAGTACCTCCCTGAGGGGTTGCTGTCTACCAACCTACTACTACAGGACGGTAGTACCTCCCTGGGTGGTTGCTGTCTACCAGAACTACTACTACAGGACGGTAGTACCTCCCTGAGGGGTTGCTGTCTACCAACCTACTACTACAGGACGGTAGTACCTCCCTGGGGGGTTACTGTCTACCAACCTACTACTACAGGATGGTAGTACCTCCCTGAGGGGTTGCTGTCTACCAGCCTACTACTACAGGACGGTAGTACCTCCCTGGGGGGTTACTGTCTACCAACCTACTACTTCAGGACGGTAGTACCTCCCTGAGGGGTTGCTGTCTACCAGCCTACTACTACAGGACGGTAGTACCTCCCTGAGGGGTTGCTGTCTACCAGACTACTACATAATATAATATTGGATTGGAATATTTTAAGTGTGGGATGTATATCTTTTTGACTGGTTTTATAGATTTTGATTTCTAGCTTGTATGAGTAGTGTTGGATTCCATTTATGGGGTGGCTGTGTGCTGGTGTAGGGCTCTTGATCAAAGTAATGGAAGCTACTCTTCCCTGAAACTTAATTATCTCCCATACCCTAGACCAGTGTTCCCAAACGTTTTTCTCTGGCCTGGACTTTCGGAATAAAAATTTACTCGCTACATACCGATTTTTTTTTACTGATAAGCAATGCTTTCAAAAAAAAAAATCCTAGCAGTGCTTGATTCATAACACAAAACACAAGCACTTCATAATAGAATCATGGGACATCCAGAAAGTATAAAACAATGCAGCTGCATAAAAACATGATTTATTCACAAAAATATAGACGAACCTCTTACATATGTCAGAGATATAATGGAGTATATTAGCGGTGCGCTTATGCAAATAGATAACTTTATTTGCTTCTTTGAGGCTCGTCCTCAACACTGTACTTAACACAAAGATATATGGCATGAAATCTGGAATCGTTTACGGGTATCTATTCTATACATGAATATTTATTGTCCTTGAATCTTACCGTCGCACTTGCCATTCTCTCGCCGCACCAGTGTGGCACACCGCACTCTGGGTGCCACTTCCCTAGGCACTTGTCCGCTGTCGGTTTAGCTTCACGAACATAACAGTCGCCTGTTGGATGGTGGCAGTCTTTACTGTTTATAACGCTAAATAACTGTTGTCTCCTAGCAGACTTTGAGTATAAGCCTCGGCTAACTCGCTAGTGTTATGTTGTCACAGATGAATAACAAAAAAAAATCTGTTATTATTTTTTAAGTTATACCTGTGGCTGTCCTCGGACTAAAGCCTAATCATGTCCTAAAATAAGCTGAGAGCATTTTGGAATTACAGTTCTACACATTTCTGTTAAGTCAAGGGTGTATAATAGTGTGAGCAAATTTTGTTTAAAAGGGAATTGAGCATTTATCTGGCAAGCTGCGGTGTACAGGTCAGTCTCCCAGGCTAGGCTCTATGTTACTTTGATACAGATCTGATGTATAGTGTCCTACTTTTCTCATCATTCTATAAGATTGCCATAGCTATTACGGGTTATTGCTTTGTAAAAAAAAAAAATGCTAATAAGAAAATCTTGCAGGCGAAATCGGAAGGAAGATGGAGTTCGCGAGCCCCCAAGCTGTGTATGCTCCTACTCCTGACATTCATGGCATTATCAATCTTCCTGTCGCCTCCACTTTCGACTACCTCACAAATCTCTACGTTCTGGGAACATTGCTGATTGTGGTAAGTTTTGTTTTGTGTTCCTTCTTTTGGTAGGTCTTGTCTAGCTATGTTCTTGTTCTTTTCCTGTTTGTCCCTAATTCTTTTAATTCTTCAATTCTTTACTTACGCAAATATTAATTGTAGTGGACTGTTGGGGATACAAAAAAAATGGTTATAACTATAGTCGTAAGTTTTAAAGGGGTGGACCGGTAAACCAGCGGAAGGCCTCGGTCAGATGACCAAAAGCTCCAACGTCAGGAAACACTTGTCCGCTTTCCAGACGAACCTAACCTAACCTAGTGGACTGTTCTTATCTTTAAGTATTTTATAATTCTCCCACATTAGGTTGCTCTGTATTACTGAAATCATCTAGGTATTTTGTGGTCGTGAGCTCTCTCAGTATTTTTTTTTTAAATGCTTGAACAAAAACACTTGGATTTTGTCATTTTTTTTTCTTTAATAACCTGTGTTTGAAAACATGGAAGTGTATTAACACTAATAAGTGGTATAAACATACTTTATACATGTGAATTAATTTGTCAAATTACACCCGACTGTTATGCTTTGAAAGCGTGAGTGGATGTAAGTGTACACACCTATCTTATCTTATCTTATCTTATGTACTCACCTATAATGGGTGGCGGGGTGCCGTCTCAGCTCCTGGCCCAGCCTCTGCTGGGTTTACTTTCCTAACTTAGGGCTTCGTCGTATCTGTTCTTAAAGCTATGTATTGATCCTGCCTCTACCACCCCGCTGTGCAGGTCGTCCCACTTCTTAACCACTAAGGCTAAAGAATACTTTCCTAACATCCCTGTGACTCATCTGTGTTTCCAGTTTCTAGCAGTACCTTCGTCTTCCTTTTTCCCGTATTTTGAACAATATGTCCCTGTCCACTTTATCAATTCCTCAGTATTTTGTATGTTATCATATCCCCCAAGCTCCTCTTTCTTTTAATATCACCAGGTTTAGTTCTCTTAATCTCTCCTCATTGCACTAGGCTTCTGAATCTGTACTTTCTTCATTTTCTTGACATGTTTGCTAAGGTTTGGGTTGCATACTGGTGCTGCATATTCCATTATGGGCCTGACATATGTCGTACAGTGTCGTGAACGAATTTTAGTTTCCTGAGAAGCTTACGTTGGATTTACCAGATGTGAGCTTGCTGGGAAGTCCTTCACTTGACGTTCGCCTCAGACTGTGGTCTCACCCCGAGCTGTTATTTTTTATAATTATTATTTATTTAGTTATTAATGTTTTTCCAGCTTTTGGTTTTGCCTCTTTTATCAGCCGACTGACATGAAATAATCTTACTCTGTCAATATTTGATCCCCTATGCAGGTTCTCTTACGCAGTCGGTTGAATTTATTTCACTTAACCAGCCTTGATTCAAGGTTGGTTTATTAAAACGTCTAAGTTCTGAATTGCTGAGTTTAGTTTACGCTTTTGATGTGCACTTCTGTAACAAAATTGGAATAATGATTATTCCAAGGTGGTATTATGTTAAGTCTTTCTTTCTTCATAGTTTTGTTTTGCTCTGGTTAATTTCAGTAAAACAAAAACTCTTAATATCTCTGAAATCGATCCCAGTCTTCCTACGGCCCTCGTTCATCCATTCTCATATATGCAATTCTTCAATCTTCTGTTACCTGTTTATATTTTTTCTAGATAATATTGGTTTACTCTTTGAGTGCTCGCTCCTTTTCTTTTATCACTACATCCTTGTCATTTTTCTCCTGATTGGAACTGGTTATCCTTGGGGATGGGGGTGTCTCGGGGTCTTGAGGAAAGAGACTAACGTGCAGGTGGCGCTAGCTGGAGGGTGCATGATTGGTCTTGGGTGGAAAAAAATGAACTGTGACACAGGGTTAGGGGTAATGTGAGGAAACTGAGTAGTAAATAGCAGCTGATGTTAGAGAAGGGCTAGTTGTGGATCTTCTCTGAAAGATACGCGGCAGAGGCCATTTAGGCTCTCTCTCTGGTCAGAGGATGCAGACTTTTTCTTTTAATAGGCTTTTTTTTTTTGACCGTCTCTGATTAGTTTATTTGCATACACAAATAACCCGCACATAAAAGAGAGAAGCTTACGACGACGTTTCGGTCCGACTTGGACCATTGACAAAGTCACACTAACCAGAAGTGGAGCAGGACGGCTATATATAGGCAGGAAGAGGTGGTGGTGGTAGTAGTAGTAGTAGTAGTACAAGAATGGTATATAATACCGACAAGATGAAATTAAGACATGCGCAACACCTGGGCATCCCTATCGTAGACGCTTCGCCATCCAGCCAGCCACTGGATGGCGAAACGTCCACAACAAAGACAACCAGACGCCGCACATGTGTCTAATTTCATCAGTAGTTGTAGTAGTAGTAGTAGTAGTAGAAGAGGTAGTATTAGTGGTAGTGGTAGAAGTGGGAAATAAGAAGGACGAGCCAGTCAAATACGAAGGAAGGGGAGCACTGCAAGAGAGCTAGGTGCCCACTGAGGGAGAGCAAGCGCACAGAGGTGCTCCACTTCTGGTTAGTGTGACTTTGTCAATGGTCCAAGTCGGACCGAAACGTCGTCGTAAGCTTCTCTCTTTTATGTGCGGGTTATTTGTGTATCGTTCCAGTCACAGTATTGTGCCTTTTTTTGTTATTTATTTGCATGTCCCTCAAAATCCTATTAAAACCCGCCACAAATCGTATTGAGATCTCAAGCTTTTTATAAGCTGCACTTAGCAGTCTAGCAGTGTGGGTGCGTAGATTAACGCTATTTATTTATTAGAAATTGATATTAAATTTAAATAAGTAATGGAATTCTAACCTGACCAGCATTTTTTTTTTTGTTAATTTTTTGATAACATTCAATTCTATATATATATATATATATATATATAATATATAATATATATAATATATATATATATTATAATATATAATATATAAATTGAAAACATTTTCAGGTGATAGCTATGTACACGAATCTCTTCTCGTGGGTGAGGCAGCGTCGGGACGAGAGGAATCTTAAAGACTTCGGTCAGGTTGTGGATGATGTGAAGAAAGGTAAGCCAATGGAACACTTTATAATAGTCTTCCATGTTTTGTCTTATTGTCCACTGTATCGGTACTCTATTTTGCCCCTTTCCAGTTGCTAAATGTTGCCTATTATTATAACAGGAATGACAGTGAATTTATGTCCCCTCTTTCTCTTGTATACTTCCACTCGCTTATAATCGTAGGTATGTTCCGCCGGGTAAAGAAACTTCCGTGTAACTATGAGGCTACTGCCAAACCCAATGAGCAGGAGTTGGGAACTGAGCAGGCTGTAAGCAATCGCCAGGAGTTTACCAGGACGGTGTTCGACTGCAGAGACTGGATTCGTGCCCTCGGAATGTTGGAGTTTCTGGTGGCGACTGGAGGGTTTTACGGGTGCCAGAACACTATCCAGGCGCTGTGGCTTTCTTCGTCACAACCCATCGTGCCAGAGGTGGTGAGGCAGGCCATTACTTCTGTTGCAGAGTGAGTACCAAAAAATAACGTCTTTCTATTTCAGCAGGACATTATTTGTCTTTCTATGAGGATAGTTCCAGAAAATATATAGTCAGTGAATTATTGCATTCATAAGGGTTGCTAAACTCCCAGGGCACATACAGTGCCTGGGGGATGGGAGGCAATGAGATTAGATCTAAAGAAGGGAAGGAAATAAAAAGTCTAATTCTTTGAATCAAGGTCCCTTCACAGGCATCGAGGAACCTTCCTTGTGGGGAGTATTTATAAAGCATTAGACATTAAGAGATTATCAGGTCTGATTTCCTCTCTATAAATTTGATCTCATGTCATGTAGACGAATGAATGTGGAAAAGAAAGCTGTAATGCCTACATGCTTTTCTTGCTACCAGGAAGACTGAGGTGCTGCAGCTGTGTGTCAGAAGGCGATGGTTCTGGCCCTGGTTCTGCCGGAGGACATATATCAAAGTTCCCTTTAAAGTTGAGTATGGGGACGTGATGACGATATACTACAAGCTCTTGGGAACTTCTTACAACATGTTTCAAGGGCCATTATGGAGGGCACGGCTAGTATCCCTTCCGCAAACCAGTGTAACACGTTACGAAGCGGTCTTGATGTTCACTGTCCACCATTGCATCACAGATGCCTTCACAAACATGATCATATGCCGCGAGACGCTGCAGGTACTGAATGCTGCCATGACTGGACATGTCTACGAGCCTCCTTTCCGTGCGTTCACTCCCTTTATCTGCGACAACCTGACGACCAAAAGCGACTGGCTACCTGCACTTAAATTTGCGTTATACAAACTATACAGTCCTACCCTTGGCAACTTTAATAAAAACGTTTATTTTCATGGCACTATTCCGCAACCAAAGGTCAAAACTGCTTCAACGAGTATTTTATATCAAGATTTGTCTGTTGGAGCTACACGGAACTTGCTAAAATACTGTAAGGAGGAAGGTGTTACTGTACATTCCTGCATCATGACTGCAGCTACCTTGGCAGTATTCCATTCGGCTCAACAGCTCTCAGATGTCGATCTTGAACCAGCCACGATCAAAGTTATGAACTGTGTAAATATGCGTCGCTACTATCCCCGTGAGTATCGGGAAGCGACTGGCTGTCATATCTCTGTAGAGGAGCAAGAACTCGTTATTAATGGTAGTGATGGCAGTAGTAAAATCAGCTTCTGGTCATTGGCTAGACAGTCTCATGCTAGCCTTCAGAAAAGCCTCCTTGTTGACAAAAACCCTATCAGGAACTTGCTTGGCCTTTTGCCCTGTTCACTACTGATTCCTGGTAATTACTCGTTGACTCGTAATGGCCGCAGGAATCTAAACGACAGCCACATGATTACCACCAACATGGGGGATCTGCGTGACCTGCTACCAGCCCGATATGACCATGGCCCAGTGGAAATCACCAAACTTCTGCGCTGCGTGTCGGATGAATTGACAGGACACCCGTATACCCTTATCTTCCACACTTTCCGAGATAGATTAAATGTGACACTTGAGTATTACTCTAACAAGATTGCTCACGATGATGCTGCACGGTACTTCTCCATCCTTACCAACTTCATATCAGACCTAGCTGAACATGGCTCTGTTAATTTACCCAATGATCGCAAGGTCAAGACCAAAAAGAATAAATTAATCTAGATGTCTCGGAAATCTGAATGTGTGAATTAAGTTTATCCATTCATCAAAAGTTGAAGTCACGAATCAGTATTACCCCCAAAAGACACAAAACCCTTGCATCGTTTGATGTTTTCTCTTTGATGTGAATGTACCTGTGATATATATATTTGTTGTACTTAATATTGATTATATCGCTGAGCTGTGTAATTCATTCCTATACTGTATTGTTAGCCAGTGTGTAATGGCTGTACAGACTGGCTGAGTTTATATAAGCATTGATTTCGAAGCAGCCTCGCTCTTGGTTTTATTGCTTATTGCAATTACCTGTGTAAAACTAAATGCTAACCATCATGGACTTTAATATTGAAGAATTGTGCATCAGTGTTTTATATATCTTCCTTGAAAAAACTGTAGTTTTTCAATTTTTTGAATGTCCTGCTTTCTCTTAATATTAACTTATTTTCGAAATCTCTTGCATTTATTTTCAGTAAAGGAAATGGGTGAAATACCCTGCTGATGGCTTTTAATTGGATATTGCGTGCAATTACACAAATTCTAGCTGGAAGATGCAATCAGTACCTTGTGTAATACTTTAATATGTCTTCCTATTAGAATTTGATGTATTGGTGGGATATCAGTTCCTATGTAAATTGGTGGATCTGACAGCTACAAGGATGTAAACGGATGTATATGGCCTTGAGAAGTTTGCTTACCATTCATTAAATTAAACTGTGGGATCTTCTAGTTATTTTTGCTTGTAAATATATTTTTAGAGTTAATTAAAGATTATGCAGTTTGTAGAAATGTTGCTTTAATTTTAGCAATGCTATATTACAAAGTTATTTCTGTTGCAGTAAAAAAAAGTAACAATTTGAGCACCTTGATTAACCGCTTTGTTAGGTAGCGATGGAACCACGAATTTAACAGCGATCAATTATCCATGTTAAATGTGATTTGATATTGTGGATTGCTTAGTGTGTGTCACATAGACACCAGTGTACAGTGTGTCGAATGTCCTCATATATGATTTTACTGTTTTCCGTTTACTGTTTTCCGTTAACAGTTACTCTAAATGGATTTTAATGATTGTGTGCATCTGTTGAATCGCGAGACCAGCGTAATGATTGTGTATCTGTTAACTCGCGAGGCCAGCGTAGTGATTGTGTATCTGTTAACTCGCAAGGCCAGCGTAGTGATTGTGTATCTGTTAACTCGCGAGGCCAGCGTAGTGATTGTGTATGTTAACTCGCGAGGCCAGCCTCCCCACCACCATTTTCACCCCAAATAACCGCTTAGAAAGTTTATGATGACCTGATAAGCGCAGGTTTCTGGTGACTTGTTCCAGCCACCGTACTGTGACCTTTTTTATTCTACTGTTTTCAGTAGGACGGCATTATGAGATTTAAGTGTCTGGAAAAATAGGGCTTCTGCTTAATGGAGAGTGTTTTCAATCTGGTAAGAGTAATTAGTCTGTTATCCCTTGAGGTCACTTGAACGTTTCGCTCCTGTCTCCAGGAAACCACTGCCTTTAGTTATGCAAACTGTTTTTTTTATGTAAGTTCTATATTTTGCCTAACTGTAAGACTCACACCGTACGGGTTTAGCATTTGCACTTTATATAATTATTTGACTTTAACATCTTTATCTTACCCAAATTTACATCAATTTAATCTTCCCTAATTAAAAATCTGCATAACTAAATACTCTTTGTTTTCCTCGGAAGAGGTTGATCTCCAGGTGATTTTGTCTGTACTGTGTAAATGTTCTCTGTATTTAGCTAACTTGCAAATTTTGAGGGATTTGTTTTTCGTTGTTTAAGATGGAATTAAACCTTCGGGTCCCAGATCAGTGTTGTGTATCAGTGACTTCACAAAATTGCTTTAATTTAAGAAGTTAATTGACTTTTTAAATACCTGTATATTCTGGGTAATATTCGAGGTTTATTGCTGTAATACCTATGATTAATACTGCTTTTCAGGCGATGAGTTTATTGGTTGTTTTCCCTGTTATTGTTCTTATAATTTATTACTTTATATATATGTGTCGTGCCGAATAGGTAAAACTTGCAATTTTTGCCCTAAATAGCAACGCTCTTCTTGCCTAAGCTAACGAATAAAATATATTTCATTGTGTTTATCATTAAATTATTGTAAATTTATCAAAAATATATTTAGTTAGGTTACGCTAAATTAAGTTGCGCTTGTTATAATAAGGTTAGGTAAGTTTTCTAAGGTACTTTTGGTACAAAATTATTATTTTTTACATTAACATAATGAAAAAAATACATATATCTTTAAACGTATAAGAGAATTTTAGAAAGGTCTTAGTTTTAAATGAGTTCTTGCTAATTGACCAATTTTTACCTATTCGGAACGACATACATTAATGAAATCACGAAACAAGTGATTTTTTGAATCATTTACAAAACTGAGGCTGGCTAGGACTCGATCCTGCGTTCAGCCCTGTGAGACCTGAACAAAGTATGCATCCCTCTATCCACTGGACCATCAATCCTTAAACACCATTCGCTCAGCAGTACTGAGCGTGTTTTCCCTGGTGCGAGGATTGGTGGTCCAGTGGATAGAGGGATGTGTACTTAAGTTCTCACGGAGCTGCTGGGCATGGGAACACAGTATCGAGTCCTGGCCAGCCGCAGTTCTGTTAATGATATATATATATATATATATATATATATATATATATATATATATATATATATATATATTATATATATATATATATATATATATATATATATATATATATATATTATATATATATACATTATTTATATGGCATTATACCTGTGTATAACCACACATTGTAATAATATTAGCAAATTGTTTACCAGTTCTGCATTTCATTTACATTCCTTTTCCGAAAACTTTCTTTTTTTTTTATATGTATATAAAACAGCGCATGACAGCAGGTTACCCGATGTGCTACTTCATGGGGGGAGGGGGAGGGGAGGGGGTGGAGGGGGAGGGGAGGGGGGGAGACACCATGATAAAGCGCTGTTGATGGAAGAAATTTCCTTACTGGCTGCTTGCCAGGTTGTAGTATTATACCGTTGCAGGTTTGGCGCTCAAACACCCCCCCCCCCCCGCCACGAGCACTATAATAATCCCATGGTGTTGTTCAGACAAAACTGTACTGAATAAAGTTCAATTGGAAGAAACCGTAATCAAGTTCAACTTAAGTTTGTTCGTAAGGCCATCCCCCCCACTTCCCCTCAAAGGGGGATTGGTTACCCTGGCGGCGATGAGGGGCTCTTGACCAAAGGAACTGGACCCGACCTTCCCTGGATTGAACCTGTTTCTCACATTTTCCCAAGGGCTGTATGATCCTACGGGTTTCCCACTCCCCGCGTGACTAATAATAAAAACCCACAAATTTAAAGTTGGGCAAACCATAATCTGTTTGCTATAGATCCTTCTACCAACTTTTCCTGTTATTCCTTTATCACAAATTTGGGGGGGGGGGGTAATAGCACACATTTTGTGTGCGTAATAGCACACATTTTGTGTGCGTAATAGCACACATTTTGTGTGCGTAATAGCACACATTTTGTGTGCGTAATAGCACACATTTTGTGTGCGTAATAGCACACATTTTGTGTGCTATTACGCCATGATCGCACTTGCCGAAGGCTTTCGCGAAGTCTGTGTGTACTACATCTGCATTTTGATTGTTCTCCAGTGCATCTAAGACCATGTCATAGTGAGAGGCAGGAGTGACCTGCTCTAAATCCATGCTGCTCTGGTTGTGCAGCTGATGGGTATCCAAGTGGTTAGCGATTTTGTTTCTTAGAACCCTTTCCAAGATTTTTATGATGTATGACGCTAGTGCAATCGGTTAGTAATTCCTTGCAAATTGCTTTACTGCCACCCTTGTGGAGTGGGGCTTTTCTTGTTCCTTAAAGCCGGTGAGTGGGGGCTGTTGACCCAAGGAATTGGACCTGTGCTCCACTTCCCTGGTTTAATTAAACCTGACTGCCTCCCATTCCCCCCTAGGAGCTCTATGATCCCCCACTGGTTTAGCGCTTCTCAGTGAATGTAATATCGTGAATTAAAATGTTATTGTGGAAGTCACTTAAGTGGTGGAAAGTGTCTTGCCTATGAAGGGCTTTTTACCCAAGGATTTTGAGCAACCCTCACAGTATAAATCTAATTTTCTCTCATTTCCCATGAATGCAACAATACCGTAGCTACATGTTTCGGTCGCTGCACGATCCGAGAAAAGTATCCTCGTATCTCATAAATCCAGCTCAGACCTTCTACCTCACTGCGCGCAAAAGGAATAGTACAAAGCGCGGTGTAAGCTTCTAAAAAAGTTAAATATGAGCAATGAAGATTTGTAATCAATCAGAACAGATATTCACACAATTGCATAAAAACCAATATTACTTTCTTCATTAAAAACTGGCAAATTGGTACATATATACTAATAACCATCTCAACCTCATTCTAAATAGGATACTCGAGTGTAGAAAAAGGAAAGGGCTGTTATCACACGGAAACCAAAATCGGGAATGATCTTCATAAAACTGATCAGCGGGCTCCTTCATGTACCCTATAAGAGTTGTATCAGTCTTCCCTTGTTGTTCCAGTTGGAAATTTGAAACTGAAGGGACTAGGCGTTCTCAAGATATAAAGAAAACACAGGAGGCAGAAAACGATCAAGTAGATCCATGTGCAACATCTGGGTATCTTTATTGTAGACGTCTTGTCGTCCAGTGGCTTTATCAATACAAATTCAAGGACATAAGTAACCTCCCATAAAGGTACATCTTCCTGAGAGTGTGCTAAATCCTGGGGATTCATTCGCATGCAACGTAAACTGATTAGTTCAAGTTTGAAGCCTATTGACTGCACGTGGGTCATGAAGGCCGTAATTCATTTGTACACTAATAATGTGAAGTAATTTATTGCCTCAAATGGGAAATAATGATAATCAATGAACATGACTAGTGAGCTACAATGCTAATACTGTAGTGGTCCTTTTTATAATATAATAATAATAATAATAATAATATTTATTTCTACAAGTACATGTACAAGGTATACAGTCCTAGCTGACATCAATGACATACTATTATATAGAAAGCCGCTTGTTGTGCTCTCAGAGAATTTCGGACAAATTAGGTCAGTTTTGTCCCAGGATGCGACCCACACCAGTCAACTAACACCCAGGTACCCATTTTACTGATGGGTGAACATAGACAACCGGTGTAAAGAAACACGCCTAATGTTTCTACCCTCGCTGGGAATCGAACCCAGACACTCGCCGTGTGAAGCGAGAACTTTAGCCACCAGGCCACGGCAAAAGCGCTAAAGCCGCTGTTATTTATTTGGGAAGA